GCTTCGTCTCCTCTGCCCACCTGGTGAGGGGCAAGTGAAGCAACTGTGCTGCGCACAGCTAGATAATCTGCTGTCTTACTGCAGCAACTGCCGCCAGCCCACCAAAGAAAGCGTTTTGCAAGTGTCTGTGGTGCGATGCAGTGACTTATTAGCAGGCTGAGGCCCAGGAAAGGTGCTTGCTGCATGAGAGAAGCTGTTGAAGGTACTGAGTTGGCAGAAGGAAGATGGAGAGAGCTTGGGAAGCAGACAGAAAAATCAGTAAAGGAAAGCATTGCTGTGGGAACCAGCTGCCAGTCAGCCTGGGGTAGAGTCCAGGCAGAGCTGCCGGTGCCCGGCCAGCCACTGCTGGTCACTGAGCAGAGACAGGAGAGAGCAAGTACCGAATGTGCACAGAAATCCCCCCTGCTGACAAGCCCCCCCTTAGCACAGTTACCCACTCTAAGCCAATAAACTATGGTTTGAGCAAATACCATGGGTAAACTTTGGGGAATTTCTTGGAAGCCCTGGTCCTGAAGTCTATTATTTTGAAATTAGCAATCAGGCTTCAAAAGATGTGTGTAAAACAGGATTTAAGGAGTGGTTGTGTCAGGCCATATATATTCTGATGTGCTGTAGGTCAAAGCCTCTAACAAACAGCAGGCAGTGACACGTCCCCCGTCCTTTCATTGCTGCCTTACGTGTAACTCTGTTTTTCCCTCATCTCAAACCAGCACATGGTAAATTCCTCCAACCCGTCGCATTTATCTTTGAAAGTGACTTCTCAGGCAGGCGGAGGATCTCTCCTCCTCTTTCTTTCTCTCAGTTGAGAAGAGCCTCTTCCTCTTTCATAACATTATAATGAACCTGAAATCTGTTGTATCTGGTTTTTCCACCATTTTATGAAAAATTCGACCCAACTTTTACCTGCCTGCAGCGTGCGATGCTAGGACAGAGACAGCAAGGGGGAAAACGCTTGCCAAGCCAATGACTGCATTTAACTTATGTTGCTTGTTTCTCCCTCTCCTTGGAGAGGCGTACAAATGAAAATTCAAGAGACCAGAATAAAAAAAGCGTGGCTAGATAGAGGGTGGCATTAGCAACAAAATGGGAAAGGACATTTTGTTCGTGTCACAACAGGATCTATTTTAAGAGCTTGTTGCATGTTTCATGGCATAAAATAACTTCTGGGATTATTTTTTCTAAAAAAAAAAAAAAATAATGCCCATGCCCACTGCAGAGAGCACTAAAATAGTCCACTCCAACCACTTCAGACAGGATGTATGGAAACAATCAGCATTGGTTTGAGGTAAGAACAAATAGAGGCAACTATCTGGTGACGCAGAAAAAAGAGAGAGAAGAGCGGGATTTTGCTCAAGTAGATTGAAAGAGTCAGTGGCATTGGAAGGATTATTAGGGATGATAGAAGTGGTAATTTGTTTGACCTAGTAACTGCTCTAATTGGTGGCCATCCCTTTGAATACAAATACCCTGTTGAATATTTCCAGTAACTCTCCTGGAAACAAAACAAATGTGTTCAGATCTCCCCTGGGCGGGAGGAGACTGCTTTTACTGCTAAGGCAGAGTGGGGGTCAGATGCCATCAAGTGCGTTAAAAACACACGCTCTCTTCAACTGGCAGGAGCATCTCAAAATGATTGTGTTTTTTCTATGTACAGCTCTAATTAAAGGTCTAGGTTTCAATTAGTCTCTTGTTTTCCTGGCCTATAATGTTACATGTTGGTCAGAACATTTTGTTTTAAGCAGAAAGCTCACCCAGCCAGTATACACACTGCTCTGAGATGTTTTTAGTTATAGATGAGGTGTGATTTTAAAAATACACATAGGAACGAGGCATCTAGGTCCTACTGAATTTCACTTTGATGTAAGCATAAAACCCACCTAGATGTCTTCAAAGCATCCCGAAGGGCAAAATGTAACTGTGCTTCAAATTCATTTTCAAAGATGAGTGGTCAACTTTGTCCGAACACTTTCAGATTTTAGGTTTAAAAATATTCTAGAATTGGCATTTTCCGCTTCCAGTGTTATCTCCTCCCAAAGTCTGCTCAAGCTAACAGCAGTTAGGTTCAGCCTAGTGCGTGTACCGATCCTTCTCAAGTGTTCCGCCTGTTAACGGGACATGAAGTGTAGACGTGATACATGCATGCAGCAGTCAAGTTCTGCTGATGACCAGACATTAACCTTAAAAATGAGCTAGTAAGCTGTGTAAACATGATTGGGAAGGAGCCTTTTTTCATGCTGTTCAGGCCCTCAGGTGTGAGGACCTCATCTTGTCCAGCACCTCTCCCATGGGTTACCATCTAGACAGGAACCTGGTTCCCCCCCCATGGGAAAACTTCACTTTCTGAGTATAACCAGGTAGATACCTGACAAAATGATGACTCAGCAACCAGCAATGTGTGAGGTAGACTTTATCACCTGCATTCCCCAGGAGCCCCTCTGCCCTTAACTTGCTTCACCTGACCCTTCCCTCTACACCCCCCGCCTCTGCTTTGGGCAGGTGATCTGACCATGTGGGTTATCTCAGGAATAATTTGCAAGCATCATTACAGTAGGAGAGGGGCAGGTGACATGAAGCGCAAGCGATGTGGGCAAGATGCTCTTAGCTGTCTTTCAGGTGAATTTGTAATGCTTTGGAAAACGACAGCCCAGCTTCACTGATGTGGTGGTTTATCTGAGGAATAAACAGAAGTGCAAGTGGGGCTGCCGTTTCTCATCTTTTTCTCTGCTGTTGGGTAGGCTTTTGTAAGAAACATTGTGTTTTCACAGAGTTAAATGACACAGTAACTGAGAAATATATCTTTATTATTAGAATGTTTATATTCTAAAAACTTTTATCTGGGGTTACAGTACAATCCAATTTCTTTCTAATTAACTAACCTGGCATTTGTTCAGCAAGTAACTGTAATTTAGGATTTGAAAAGTTTAAAACATGCAACTTCTTTTACTCTCTTTTTCTCCTCCTCCCCCAAAAGGACAACTTAGGGTCAAGATTTTGGTGTGATAAATAATAAAATAAACATCTCATTTGTGAACTAGTAGTTGCACTTAACTTTGGTGACTAACAGAGTAGGCATTTAAAAATAAAAATATTCTTTCAGTGTCAAGTGGATAAAGGAACGCATGAATATATTTTACTTTATTCTCTTTCTAAAGCTTACCTTTATTATCTTCAAAAAGGGTTGTTTTTTCAGGTTTGCAAAAGGATGTGGGAAGCAATAGAAAAAACTAAAAGATGTTTCTATTTCGTGGCTTGCCTAAGAAAGTTGTCGTAAAGTATGATCTGACCCAAACCCATGCAACACGATTAACAACTCCTTTTCACCAAACACAATGCCAAGCATAAGGCCAAGTGTGGCCTTGTGACATGGTTAAACAAATATTAAAATGTCATTACAACCCAAATACCTGAATTGGTTTTACACTGTGACTTTCTACTGAAACAGTGTTGAGAAACTTTAAACATATATCTGATTGTTCCTTATACACTATTTAAAATAAAAGTGAGGAATAATACTCTCTTTCTTCGCTCTGCTACTTTCTGGGAGCTCTGTACACTGACAAATGTATGACATCTGTAGTTACCTGATCCTAACTGACTGATTGGTCATCTTCTGCTTTAAAAATATTGCAACTCAGGTGCTTATTGCAGCAGTAATCATAGTGATACACTGTCTGTTAATACTCAGTTCTGCTTACAGTCATAGTTATAAAAAATGAAAAACATTTTTCACAAATCTTTGTACACATACTGTAAAAATCACCTTCCACAAAAACAATTTACATCTGTTATGAGCATTTAAAAAATAAATTACACAGACTTGTCTCATCTTTCCTTTCTTTTTCTTGAGAAAACAAATCTCATCAGTAACATCGACAGGATGTTCGTATCTGTAAACATGGCATGAAGATTCATGTTACCAAGAAACTGTACACACAAAAAATCATCTTGATAAATACTCTGATAAATAAGGATCCTTTTAATTGGCACAAACCAATGTGAACATGTGCGTTCCTGTCCTGCAATCATCTCTAACTTCCTTGCTCTTGGGTTTTTAGTTGAAATTCAGGGATCTGTAAAGATTCAGCCCTGTAAAGATTTTTCAGAGACAAAAATGTGAAGGGTTATGGTTATGATCATAGCCATTTTAGACTTCTTGCCTAAAACCAAGCACAGGCATCGAACATGGTGCCCTGGTAACAACCCACTGCTGGCACTCAGTACTGAAACTTCTCTGGCTCAATGCGGGCCATGCTTGTCAGGGCTGCAGTACCAGCTTCTGGTCTCCTCGCTGAGTGACGCCAGAGGCTGGTATGTATAGCCAAACCATAAAGCTTCTGGAATTTGAAAGCTGTGCTTGAGATACCGGAGCAGCCCAAATTTGTACCAACAGACAACGTGGCTGCTGGCAGGATCGAGCGGTTTAACGTGCATAATAAAATGTGGCAATGTGCCCGACTGAGTGTATGGCAGAAAATCCAGGGTAGCAATCTACTGCTGTAAACAGCCTTCAAGCAACTCCAGTAGACCTTTTGCATCTAAGTATGTCTGTGCAGGTAACAGTTAATCATTGATCTTGTACCTACCTAAGCTGAAAGACTGAGTATTTAGGTGCCGATTAAATGGATTCTTCTGAACTTCAGCAACAGCACAGATGGAAAATAAATTACCAGGCCACATGCTGCCACTAAAATAATTAAACATACAGCCACAGTACTGCCCAGCAAGATAAATGCAGTCATTTAAAATAAGCTCTATAAATAAATAAATAAATAAATAGAAAAACTTCCATGTAAACTGAATAAAATGTCACTTCTCTTATAGCGCCCAAAGAGAGAATGGCATTACTAAATAATATAAATCTTCCATACTGTATATATTTCTATATATTATATCTGTTTTGGCATGGCCAGATGGATAGGAAAAAGTAGGATGATTAACTTCATTCCATATTTGTTCTGTTGAAGCCAAGCTCCTGCATTACTATATATTGCTAACCATTCCTATAGCGGTTTGGCCTTTTTACCCATCTTGGATTTTGCGCTCACTTTCCTGGCAGAGCAGGCTGGTTCACCCTTCTTTTGTGCTCTCCATATTTCTCTTGAGCAATCAACAGGTTCATAGAAGCACTTCACTGGCTGCAAGCTGTTTTTTTCATCCTTTGCTTTTTTCAACAAGATTCTTCCTTTTTGAAATGAATGAGGCTTTGCGTCAGGGATGTTATACGAAGCGTGTTGACTTCCTCGGCTCCTGAAATTAATAATAGCAATTATTAATAACTATTATTCAACCTTGCAAAGTGAAAAGTCCCCAAAATGGCCCAAACCCATACATTTTTGAAGACAGAAATAGCCTTGTTTTACAGGACCAGGCTGAAAGTTAAAAACAGAGTTGCAAGATGAATTACATTTCTCAATATGCAAAAGCATCCCTCACTGTAAGAACCCCTACATGTGTTACTGGTGGACGCTTCATGCATGTTCATCTGCACTTTTATTCAGATAGCATTCTGCTGATTTTGGAGTGCTGAGACCTTACTGAGGTCTATAATCTCATAACTTAGTGGTCTACAAGGGATTTTAAAGATGCACATGTTCACAGCAACCTTCTGCAAAGAATGAACATCCCATGGTCTTTGGAAGACCACATAGCACCAAAAACAATTGAAAGTGGGTGCAGGAACTGTAGGAACTTCTTGGTGGACTCTCAGCGCAGCCCTGGGCTGCGGCTGCTACTAACGGCCAGTAGCCCAGGAAACTCCACGCTCTGCCTTTGCGCTGGAAACTGTAGCTTTGCTTTTAGGCTTGATTTGAAACGGGAGAAGAGGAAAGGGGAATACAGAAATTGGTGGGAAGAAGGGTACGAAAGCTTAAAGGCCAAAGTTAAGATGAATTCTTTGTTCTCTCTGTGATGGTTCAGGCCCAGCAGGATTTGCTGAAATCGGTGAGCTCAGGTGGAGTGACAGCACGGTGCCTGGTGCTGCAAAGGCTGAACCATGCCCTCTGCTCTGAAATTTTATGTTGAAACTGCAGTTCCACAGTTTCGCTAAGTAAGATAATTACAGTCCCTTTTAACATAATCTTGAAATGTTTTACAGCAGCAGATACATGTAGTGTAACAGCAGCACTACGAACGTAAGGCACCAGCTCATTTCTGCCCAGCTACTGTGACTGAAGTGAAGAACAGATGTGCTGATGTACAAGTCGATCTCTTAAGGGTTCCCATAGGGCTATTTTCCATAGCTCGTTATTTCTGGAAACCACGTATCTGTAGTATTACTTCTCCAGGGAGTTAAACAATACTGCACACTTGACAAAGCCAGTTTTGGAAAAAGCTGTGGTTGTTCAAGTGCATACAGTGCAAGCCCTCTCCTGCTCTTTAAAAGACCAGAAGGGTGTCATGAAAGCCTCTGTATTTGTTGGTGGGAGGCAGTGAGGGCCAGTCAACAGCACAGGAATTGAGCCTTACCTACAGAACAGTTTTACCCGATTGGCAGCTTTGCCAACCAGACTTCACGATGGGAAAGTTTTTGGGGGAAAATGCCGTGCAGGTCCAAGCTGGAACTTGCAGGTGCTGTGCCGTACTGGCCTGGTGCAGGCCTGTGCTCTGACCACTTGCTAGGGGTTAGAAATGACTTGTGTAAATGCACAAGTGTTGGCCACTTTGGTTTACGGTCACTTCTTGGGCTTTGCTGTTACGGTCCATTACTTAGTTGTTGTTAAAAGATGCAGCGCTCTTTTTTTCTCAGCTGTTGTTACGGTGAAAAAGTTACATCATTTACTCCCAAAGCACATGCAGGCATTGTTGCAGGTGATTGCAGGTGATGTTAGCCACTCTTCTGCTGCACTGAGTGATGCTATTAAAACCAGAAGAAGGTCAAGGTTAATATGATCAGAGGGCATTGCCTGAAAGAGCTAAACTGTATTTAAATTGAACGAGTTTATGGTAGAGAAGATGGATGTCTGCCCCTAATTCACAGTCCGGGTAAGAAGGTATCTAAGATGGATGAAGATGCAGGTCACTGCACATGAAATGCAGTGCTGCCAGCTCCAGATGCAGGGAACGTTTTTTCATTGAAAGCAGCAGCTCCTCGATACAAGTGACGATAAGAGACTGAACTTCTACTCAAACACGTTCCTCATCTGCCACATTATGAAGAAAGACTGAAATGAATGGACTAAATGAACCCCATTGCCACAGGCATTTAAGGACAATCCTATTCCTGCTGCATTTCCCAAACATCAGGTATTTTTCAAGGCAGGTCTTATGATTTCAAGAGACCTGATTCTTAGCTTCTTCACAATGGGAGCTGGCATTTAAAGTTGATCTAGGCACAGATATGCTGGCAAGTCTCAGTGCCTTTGAGAAATGGCTAGTGAGCATCAGCAAAGGTCTACCATGCCCTCAGTGGGGCATTTCCTGGAAACAGCCAGGAGAAACTGAAGAAAAGGAACTGGGAAGCAAGGCAGAGGCCTTGGAGGGAGAGGGATTGCAAGTCCAGCCATTGATCCCAAACAACATAAGCCATCAGCAGCCCCAAACCCCCTGAGATTACACTGAATTTTCTGGATGGGTAGTAACACTTCCCAATTTTTTTAACTGGCACATACCATTAAAACCTCATTTTATGTACTGAGCTGAGTCAGAGCTCTTAAAAAAGCTGGTGTGGTGAATGCAAATGCTGGATTCATCCATAGAACACACAGAGCAAAATAAAACTTTCATACCCCTCTGAGCATCCTCTCTTCTATCCTCCCTGCTTTGTAGGACAAGTTAGGATATGTTTAATCTGGTAACTCCAAATAAAGGCTACTACTAAATTCTAGTTTTGACAGTGTCTTTTCAAAGGAGAAGTATATCAGTAGTTAAACAGAAACCTCCAAACAATTTCATATATGCCTTTGAACTCCCACTATTTGTCAGCAAATAATGGGTTTCACCAAACTGTGTTATATTTAGCCCAAAGACTTGTCAGTGGAAGGACTCATCTCACTGAGTCATTGAATTCACTGGTTATATTTTAATTCTATTTTCCTTGTTTCCAGTCATATTAAGACATCTAGAAGCCTGAAAAGTGTATACACAGTCAGCTCAAAGTCTACTTTGGACCATCAAGTTTTTCCATAATCTCAAATCAGTAGGGGAAAAAAAAAGCTATAAAAGCTATGAAAATAAAAAGTAGAAAAAACAAAGCTAAAGCCCAATGCTGTTAATTATTAATGCAAACACTGCTTATCAGCAAAAGGGTACTTGGCCAGTTGCCTGCTAGGGATAAGATATATAAAAACCAAAACCAACCCAGAGAGCAAAAAGCCCTCCCTGCCCAACCCAGTAGGCTAGACGTTGTATTTTTAGTTTATTTTCCAGCCCATCCATCTGTTCATGTGTGTGTCAGTCTTCCAGTAATTCTTGAACCCATTGGTCAAGCACAAACAAATCTGGCAGGGACCCAGAAGTCCCAGACCTGTGGTGACGCAACAGGTTTCATGGCAATGGGATAAAGACCCAAACTCATGTCCCCACTAAGAAAGGTTGCCCTGAGGAAGGGTGCACTGCCTGATCATTGCTTGGTCAAGCAGCACGCGTGATGCTCTGAACCAGCCGCTGGGACTCATGACCAAGTCACAAAGACATGGGAAACCAGCCGCAATTAGTTCTGCTGCTCCTAGGACAGCTGCTTGAGTAACCTGAGATGTTGTTAGTGCCCATGCTTTGTCGGGGCACTTGTTTGCTTGCACGTGATTTTTAAGTCGACAGTGTTCCTGTCAGTTAGGAAATGACAACTATCTCTCTCCTACCTACAGAATGTTAAAGATATTTTCAGCTGTAACTTGGCCTGTGTTTGCTGAAGGGATTCAAGCACTGTAGCTTTGCAATAGGCTATTGTAGTCAGCAGGAAGGAGACATTCATTTAACAGAAAATTATTCTTTTTTTAATCTTTACAGAATATAAGATTTTAGCTTTGATTTAGCAGAAATCTGTTCTTCTTCTATTACATGACATAGATACAGATCGTACTTGGGTATAGAACGTCATCCAAACCCAACCTGATTCAGGCTTTTGGATAAGGTGAAATGCAAAAGCAGAAATGTAAGCAGGTGAAGTTAGTATCTTTAAGTGAGAGAAAAATAAAAAGATATACATACAGGCATCTGGGTTTCTTATTTAATGAAATGTCTGTAAACTGCAAAGAAAATAGAAATAGGTTATTAATATTAATATTACACTATCAAGTAAAGTACAGGGATAAAATATATGCAGTCTTCAAAACCGTATCTCCATTCTTACCTGCTGTTAAAACTAGAAAAATATTCATGAAAGAAACAGAAAAAAAAATTTCTACAGATTGTTACTCCTCCAACTTGTTACATCTGTTTTTAAAATTTGTAACATGTGAGTTGTTAATGGTTGGATTTTTTCCCCATTATTTTTATCATAACTATAATCAAAGTAAATTGCTAAAGAAGTGTGGGCTGAACAGAGATCTTTCACATTAGATTAAACAGTATGGATACAATGAGAAGTAATTACTGTGTTCAAGATAATTAATAAGGGACAGTGCCTGAATAAGCTGTATTAAATTAACTTCCTCTCAGAGCCTTTAATTTTGCAGTGATACATTTCCTTTACACAAGCGGCTAGGAAACTGCAGCTACGAGCCCTTGGCTCTGCCTACAACAGCACTGAAGGGTGGAGGGCGAGAACGCAAGCGTTTCTCTGCGTTCCCACCCCAAATCCTGAGACCAGCGAGGGACAACGTAATCTCAGTGCCAGCAAAACTTCGCATGACTTCATTTTTTGTAACAGTTTGGGTCACAGCATGGAAACACTTTGTCTAGTCCCCGTTTTAGTGGGGGTCAGGAAAGGAGGTGTTTAATGCCAGCTCAGCCTAAAACGGTCTGGGTACTCAATCAGTTCTTTGTACTGATGCCCCATCAGTGCTACTAGACTGAGCCTTTGAGTATCATTTAATGAAGTCACTGAGCCAAGCAAGTCAGATCTGGCATCTGAAAATGATCGTGTTCTTGTAAATGTTCCCTCTGTCTCTGGTATTGTCCACACTTTGTAGATGGATTTTTGCCCAGCCTAACTTTGCTTGTCATCTGTCTTGGACGGAGTCTGGAGCCATCTCATGGTGTGCTTTTCTGTAATTATCTCCTGAAGGTCAGGCTGGTCAATATTTGGATGGATGACCTTAGAGGAATGCTGAAGTCACTCAGAAAGCAGGGCAGCTGCCTCAAAAATCAGTGCCTTCCCCAAGGGACACTGCTAAGCCAGGGATCCCAGTAAACACATCAAGAGCAGGGGAGATGATTTAATACTGGGGCCCATCTTTACAGCCCCCCTCAGTGTTCTCACAGACACTGTTTGAGATGTCCTGTGCTAGATTTCAGCACATCTACATTTATTCAGGTCTTCCCTAAAGTTCTTTGTCTTCCAAGTGGCTATGGGAACCTTAGCTTTCCACCATTACATACCTGTTCAGTGCTGAGCATGATCAAATGCCTCTCCTCTCGCCTCCTGGGATGAGCAGTTACTTAGCACAGGCAGCATGGGGTATTCATTTAAACTGAAATGTTCTTTGGAAGTCATGTGGATAAAACTTGCCATATAAATGTAACGCATTGTAGGGAAGTATTAACAATGAAGGCTTTTAAAGAAATCATGTATTTTAACAAACAATGTTCAGACAACCTTGGTTTCTCATCTGTGGGGGAAGGCCTGTGGGAATCCATTCACCATTTCTAAGAGTCCCGTGACAGGTAACTACAGAAAGCAAGCCGATTTGCCAGCAGGCTGACATGTCCTCTGTGGGGATCCACATCTTTCCTGAAAATCTTTAGGCATCTCCAAAAAACTGCCAAGTCACTAACTGACATAAAGGAAAGTGTTTGTTGCAAAGGTAACAGCAGCAATAGCCAAAGCTGAAAAAAAAAAATTAGATCTGGGAAACAGTTCATTATTCTCTGCTCTCCCTTTGCCATCTTTGGCTATTGCTGCTCTTACACTCTCCGCTCCTTTCACTCAAGTGAAGTGGCAGTTTCAAATGTCAGTAAAATGGTCTAAAGAAACGCTTTACAAATCCAGATCTGACTGGAGTCGCAATTAACCTGACTGCTGAGCCCACCCGTATTCAAAGTCAAGTACTTTCCCTCCGGTGGTGGGTGACAATGAAGGGAAGGACTTGCTGGCTTACCACGTGCTCGCTGATGTCGGTGTGGTTGCACACCATCTGCTGATTTTGGTAATATTCTAGCTGCCTTTCTGCCAGATCCACACGCTGCAACAGGTTCTCAATGAAGTGCTGGAGCCTGGCTTTTCCCCGCACTTCTTTTTCTGCCGCTTCTTCCAGGAAGTGGTTGAAAGTAACGACTTCTCTGCAAGACAGAAACATTGCAAAGAGGCCACATTTAGACAACAGGAAGGGCCCTGATCTCGCTGCTGTCAAAAAATTACTGATGCTTCTCCTGTTTTTCATGGCCATAGCCTATGGTGGCTAATTACCGTCCTTCACCTCTGTTAAGAGATTTCAACCTTTTTGTGAACACCTAGTGAAGATCTGGAACCCTGAATACTGAATTTAAGTTTATGGGCAGTGGGTTTGGGGTTTTTTGTCACATTATTAGGTCTCTTGGAAATAGTCCTTAATGGTCCACAGGGTAGAAATGTCATTAAGCATCACCTCTCGAGGTATCTGGAGACAGCTACAGCCTCCTTTTTTTTTTTTTTTTTACTTACCCATGTAAGTATCAGCCCTGAAACATGAAGAGAAGTGGATGAACCCCCAAATTCATCTTCCCAGTTCATCATAATCTTAACAATGGTAGTTTAACGTTGCTTATGCAAGCATTAACAATGCTTGTTTAACGGTGGTTCCTAAGTTAAAAGAGCTACTGTGGCTATAAAACTTAATTTTGGCTGTAATCTTGCAAGTACATCAAAGTGCAGTGTTATGATCTGGAGCTAGTGGGAGCACAGTAAGATTAACAGATAATCTACAGATTACAGACCAAGGAGTATGTGTGTTGGAAGAGCAAGTTTTAGGCCAGCAGTTTAGAAATGTTTCTTGTCTGGTAACATGCTTGGAAGAAACAGATAGCACCGCTGACTGTGAAAGGTCCCAGCTCTGTACTGAGACATAGCTCATTTTAAGTGCTCTGCATACTATCAGTTTACTATCAGTAATTAGGCCACCACTTGGACCTCTGATATCAGGAGTTTCTGGGTGGGAGAAGTTTGGTTACAGAGTGAAGCACGTATTACAAAAAAATGGCAAACCTGAGCATGTAGGACTTTCCCAGTTAATAAACGCCTGGATAAACAGTTCTTGCTCTGCCAACTAAGCTGTGTTAATTTTTGCTTTGTACAAAGGGGTGGGAGTTGGGGGAACCAGTGCTTGCCAAATGAAAAGGGCATGATTGCTTGGTAGAAATACATCACCTGAGGAAAAAGTGTTTTAAGCCAAAACTAGGAAACAGTTTGTAGAAATAAGAGCCTTACAAAGCTTAGCTTGTTTATAACAAATCTAAAGTTTCTCAGAGTTTCATTGTTTTAACTCAGTATAGTTGTAGATAATTGGTTTAACTCAGTACAGTTGTTTTAACAGTGAGCTGTTTTGTGCTAAGAAGAGTTAGGCACAAGTGGTCAGCTGTGGAAATTCACCATCTGGGATTCGGGCTGGGTGTGCCTGCTCTAAATCACAGTAGAGTGCAGCAAGAGGCTGTTTGCACAGCTGATCTAATGGTAGGAATGAGGTAAAAACAAGCATGTATTGCTTGGACAAAGAACATCAATGAATATTAGTTTTTATTAACTTACCCACAAAATCTGGCTTAAGAAACAGAGTACCTTGTTTGTTAAGCTTAGCTAATCCATTCCATTTCAAGACTCTACAGTTTCTGTGATTATTAGCTTGCCCAGAGTGACCTGGTAATAAAAAGCCTGAAGAACGCTTAGGAAGAAGCCAACCTAAACTCATTAAGGACGATTTTAGGGCTTTATTCTCACCGCATGGACAGCATTGTAACTTCTTTGATTTCATGGTGCCATTCTGTGTTTGTGTTAGCATATTGGCAACCCAAAGCCCTTGGCACTCTGGCGGGCTCCTCTTTTACAGTGGACAGGAAGCTCAAAAGGACAGAAACTCAGCAGGTCGGCTCCAAATCCCTTACCCTTCGGGTAAGGAAGGAGAGCTGCGCGTGGCTGCCGGCCCTCCCGCGGGAAGGCTGGGGCAGAGTGGGGAGCTGCCAGCCTGGGGCACCATGAGGATACACCTTCCGGAGCCGCGGCTGGCTCGTGCATTTCGCTGCATTGGGAAGCCATGAGCATCGAGGACTTGGCATTTGGTTTTAAAAGGGTGATAGTTTCATGAATGCTAACATCTGTAATTGTGTCAGCAAAGGTAATTCAAAAGCATTCATTAATCACCTGCTCCATGGCGTGAATAAATCACCCACAAATTTTCCTTTCCTACAAATATCTCCTTAGTGAGCTGTGCTACTTTCCTTTCAGCTGAAGTGGTACCAGCACTCTGTAAATTCCCTTTATAAAGACAGGAGCCAGAATATACCCACCCACTAGGTCTTGGTCACAAGCCTTGTCCTAAGCAGCACTTCTGTTAGTTCAGCTACCTTCTTTGTTTCCACTTCATTCTCATCTCTCAGAAGAACAACAGCAAGCCCCAAGGAATGACTGCTAATAAGTGTCTCTGCTTGCTCCAACGCCTCTTCCTCAGAGAGTGCGCTCCGTGCCACAGCTATGCCTTGGTTACCTGAAGGGAATTCCCAGAAGAAATTTTACCCTCCTCCCACCATGAACAATAGGGAAATGGCTCAAAGAACTTGTGTAGCTTCCTGCAGCAGCTGTTTATCTGTTTAATTGCCTTTCTTGTCTCTTGTAGTTTACCCAGACTTTTTCTTAGCCATACTGATGACCTTCTCCCTTCAATTCTATTTCTAAAGAGCTGTGATGATTTTTTGCTTATGTTCTTTATTTTACTTTCAACTTATTTCTTCAGGCCTCTGCCAATTTTGGGAGATAAATTATGTGATACTATTTCTATCTTTTACTCTCTGCTCTTATGCTTGTGGAAAGATGGATGTTCACGGAGGTCAGATGCTGCTCCTCATGAAGTCGGGGAAAGCTGAGCCCGTGAATATTGTGGGGCCCAGTTGGCAGAGGCATAAACCAGAGCGCAGCAGCATGGGCCCACTGGGCTCTGTGTCTTGACAGAACAGCCTTGTCAGCAGCGCTCACCTGAAACAGGAATCATTTGTTAAAGCCTGGCTCAGACCTGAAATGTTGCCCTTTCTAATGAGAGGTCTCTGCTACCCTGCGCAGACTATTCTACATCTGGTTCACTGCTGCTATATTAGGAAAAGGTTATGTAGAGTTATTAACTCCCCTTGAACTCCTCTGCTCTCAGCATCATCTCTTTCCCACTCTGCTGTGCTCCTCCATTTGCTCTCTGCCCTTCAGCCTGCAGGCTCCTGCCCCTTTTTGCTCAGCTGCACCCTGGCACTTGCTGTAGCACCATAGCTCTAGATGCTGCCACTAAATTTTATGAGCAGAGTAGATGATGCTCGGTGCAGCTCAGATCTCTGTAAATTCTGTAATGGATAGCAGAGTGATCTCATCTGTTTGCTCATAGTTTACTATACTAATATTAAGGTATGCTGTATAGCAAAATATTTTGTTAAGGGCTGTGACTGGGCAGCAGGGAGAAAGGTGGGTTTCTTGCTTTGTCTTGGGTGCTCTTGTCAGACAAAACCTTTCAGGAGGAGGGATCGCTGCTGCTGCCCAGAAAGCAGAGGGCACATTGAACTGCCAGCAGCTTATGGTGACAGAGTGAGGCAAGCAAGAGGGAAAGACAAAGCAAACAAGGGGGATGCAACCCGGGAGGTGTCCAAGAGGAGCAGGAGGTGCCTGTACTGCCAGACTGCCGGAGAAGAGCTCTTCCCAGCGCCAGAGGAGTCCGGGAGGAATTTATTGCAGTGCAGCAGGCAACTCGGAGGTGCTCAGCTGAAAGAACAAGTGCAGAGGGAAGGATCACTGTAGGCAAGAAAGACTTGCTGCCAAAGCTTTTATTTTAATCTGCCTCTGCCAGGGAGTTAACCTGTTCTAGTTAACCAGACTTAACTACTTTGGCATTTTGCATCCCAACTGCAGCCTAGCTGCCCTCATGGAAAAACTGCAGCCAGCCTGCCTTGAAACTTTTCCTGAAACTTTTTTTATGGAGGCTGTTGTCATGAAACAGCATGAGCTGTGGTAAATAAAGTTGTAAATCATAGACTGACTAGGTGGCATTTTTCTTCTGCCTTTACCACTAGGTTATACAGTGCTCCTTGCAGGACTAGCGAGCTGCAGTTCTAGCTTACCGGAGCAGTTGCTGGCATGTGGACCCTGCAGATACCCTTAGCATTTGTATGGCTTTCAACAGTTAAGCATGTGACACACAGAGTAGATGCAGAGGTTGGGACAGCTCCAGCTCCTTAACAACTGACAAGGGCTAATGATTTCTCACATTGCGACCAAGCCCTCCTACAGATGCATAATACTGGTCCCAGGACTATTTACAGCAACTTCGACACCTGCAACTGCTCTGTAGGTGGAGACAAGCACGAGGCTCTACACAGATTCTGCACCCAAGTATCAAATCCCTTTAGAGAACAACATTTGGAATAACTCTGCCTAAAATCAATATAAAACCAAACACTTATTTTACTTGAAGATGGGGAAATTTCACAAGTGATTTACTTGTGAAAATATTTAAAATATGTACACTCATTAAGTACACTGACCTCATCCATCACGCCGTTGGCGTTACTGCCTAAAGGCTGCTATCTGTTATTCATTCGGTTGTGGTTTCACATTCCTACACCACTATCAGCACATTTGATTTATGAGGTTCACACCTCCTCCCCTCAGAAAGTTATCGTCCTACCAGTTGCACCCATTCAGTGGGCTGTACTCTAGATCTGAGCCCTGAACTTACTGGGGCGACACTGTGAAGATCAAAATGCTTTATTTCACAGAGCCATTCTGTGGGATAGTCATGCTACATGTGAACCAATGCTGCTGGGGGGAGTAAGCTCTCAAGTGGGAAGATGAAAGGAAACAGGGAAGAAGGAGTGGGACCACCTGAAACTGAGGGTGGAAGAACAATGTGTAATTGCGGTCGTATTCCACTTAAAGCAAAATCAAAACTGTTTTGTTCTACAACTGAAATTTGTATTTTAAGGAAAGACGTTGTTTTAAAGCATCAATTGCAGTGATCTCTAAGAGCCAACTCTCAATCCTGTTGTCAAGATGTGACTTGCACAGATAGTTCCATTAGTTGCAAATTTAAGGTGAAGCGACTGGTAAGAATAACTACTCC